TCCCAGTTCCCTCCCATTCCATTCCCAGTTCCTCCCAGTCCATCCCAGTCCATTCCCAGTCCCCCCCAGTCCCTCCCAGTCCCTCCCAGTCCATTCCCAGTCCCTCCCAGTCCCTCCCAGTCCATTCCCAGTTTATCCCAGTCCCCCCAGTCGCTCACTGCCGCAGTAGCCGCGCCGGTGGGCGAACCAGAGGCCGAAGGCGGCGAGCGCCAGCACCAGGAGCAGCAGCACCACGGCGGCCACGACGCCGCCCACGTTCACCTCGCCTGCGGCAGCGAGCGGACCGGGGATCCCGTGGGGTCGGGGGATCCCGTGGGGTTGGGGGGTCCCAGGGAATCGGGGGATCCAGGGGATTGGGGGGTCCGGGGGATCAGGGGATCCCATGGGTTTGGGGGGATCAGGGATCCCATGGGATTGGGGATCCCATTGATTGGAGGGATCTGGGGGATCCCATGGGTTTTGGGGGGATCCCACTGGATTGGGGGAATCAGGGGATCCCATGGGTTTGGAGGGATCCCATGGGATTGAGGGATCCTGAGGGATTTGGATTAGGATGGGGATTGGGATGGGGAATCAGGATTGGGATCGGGATCACGATTGGGATGGAGATCGGGATTGGGATGAGGATCAAGATTAGGATTGGGACTGGGATCACTATTGGGATGGGGATTGGAATTTGGATCGGGATCGGGATGGGGATTGAGATCGGGATCACGATTGGGATGGGGATCAGGATCAGAATGAGGATCAGGATGGGGACTGGGATTGAGACCAGGATGGGGATTGGGATGGGGACAGGGATCAGGATCGGAATGAGGATCAGGATTGGGATTGGGATCGGAATTGGGATTGGGATGGGGATCAGGATTGGGATTGGGATCGGAATTGGGATTGGGATGGGGATCAGGATTGGGATCAGGATTGGGATGGGGATTTGGATTGGGATCAGGATTGGGATCGGGATTGGGATGGGGATTGGGATTGGGATCAGGATTGGGATTGGGATGGGGATTGGGATTTGGATTAGGATCAGGATCGGGATCGGGGTCGCTCCTTACTGGCTTCCATGTGGAAGACGTCGGATTTCTGGGGGCTGCCCACGTTGTTGGAGGCCTCGCAGTGATAATCGCCCGTGTCCCAGCCCCCCACGGGCTCAAAGACCTGGAATGGGCAGGATCGGGGGAAAACGGGGAAAAATGGGGGAAAACGGGGGAAAACGGGGGAAAACAGGGGAAAACGGGGGAAAAACGGGGAAAATGGCGGAAAATGGGGGGAAAAGGGGGGAAAAGGGGAAAAATGGGGGGAAAAGGGGAGAAAATGGGGGAATAATGGCTTGGTAAAATGTGGAGCCCCTGGCACTGCCCATTGACCAGCTCCCCCCACACTGCCCAGCCTGGGCACTGCCCACCCCTGGCACAGCCCCAGGCACTGCCCAGCCCTGTCCCAGCCCTGTCCCACCCCTGGCACAGCCCTGGCACTGCCCAGCCCTGTCCCAGCCCTGTCCCAGCCCCTGGCACAGCCTGGGCACAGCCCTGGCACTGCCCACCCCTGTCCCACCCCTGTCCCACCCCTGGCACTGCCCAGCCCTGTCCCAGCCCTGTCCCAGCCCCTGGCACAGCCTGGGCACAGCCCTGGCACTGCCCACCCCTGTCCAACCCTGTCCCACCCCTGTCCCAGCCCTGGCACTGCCCTGGCACAGCTTCTGACACTGCCCAGCCCTGTCCCGGCCCTGGCACTGCCCAGCCCTGTCCCAGCCCTGTCCCAGCCCTGTCCCAGCCCTGTCCCTGCCCTGTCCCAGTCTTGGCACTGCCCAGCCCTGTCCCAGCCCTGTCCCCGTCCCAGCCCTGGCACTGCCCGGGCACCGACCAGCTCCCCGGAGCGGGGGTCCAGGCTGTAGGAGGAGTTGCGGAAGGCGGGGCTGGCGCGGGGGTCCGGGGGCAGCTCGGTGCCATCCTTGTACCAGCGGAAGGTGGGCGGCGGCGAGCCCTGCGCCTCCGAGCAGCGCAGCACCGCCCGCGCCCCCACCGTGGCCGAGCTGGGCACGTGTGCCAGCGGCTTCCCCGGCGGCACTGCGGGACACGCGACACGGCGGTGCCACCGGGACACGGGACACAGACAGGGGACATGGACATGGGACAGGGGACAGGGGACAGCGACACGGGACACGGGACACGGACAGGGACAGGGGACATGGGACAGGGGACATGGGGACACGGGACAGGGGACAGGGACAGGGGACAGGGACACGGGACACGGGACAGGGACACAGGACAGGGGACAGGGACAGGGGACAGGGGACATGGGACAGGGACACGGGACAGGGGACAGGGGACATGGGACATGGGACAGGGACATGGGACAGGGACATGGGACAGGGGACAGGGGACAGGGACATGGGACAGGGGACAGGGACATGGGACAGGGACATGGGACAGGGACANGGGACAGGGGACAGGGGACAGGGACATGGGACAGGGGACAGAGGACAGGGACACGGGACAGGGACACGGGACAGGGGACAGGGATGGCACCGCCCAGAGTCACCGTGGGGACAGGGACAGGAGTGGCACCGGGACACGGGACAGGGACAGGGGTGGCACTGCCCGGAGTCACTGCCAGGGACGGGGATGGCACCATGACAGGGGACAAGGGACAGCAACAGGGGACACGGCCAGGGCTGGGGACAAGGGACACGGCCAGGAATGGGGACAAGGGACAGCAACAGGGACAGGGGACAATGGCAGGGTTGGGGACAGGGGACAATGCCAAGGTTGGGGACAGGGGACAGGAATAGGGACAGGGGACAAGGCCAGGGTTGGGGACAGGGGACAATGCCAGCAATGGGAACAGGGGACAATGCCAGGGCTGGGGATAAGGGACAATGCCAGCAATGGGAACAGGGGACAATGCCAGGGCTGGGGCCAGGGGACAAGGCCAAGGTTGGGGACAGGGGACAGGAATAGGGACAGGGGACAATGCCAGGGTTGGGGACAGGGGACAATGCCAGCAATGGGAACAGGGGACAATGCCAGGGCTGGGGACAGGGGACAAAGCCAAGGTTGGGGACAGGGGACAATGCCAGGGTTGGGGACAGGGGACAGGAATAGGGACAGGGGACAATGCCAGGGCTGGGGACAGGGGACAATGCCAGAGTTGGGGACAGGGGACAATGCCAGGGCCAGGTGGCCTCACCCTGCACGACGAGGTTGACCTCGGACTTGGCGATGTGGCTGCCGTCGGCCACCACCTCGCAGATGTATTTGCCGCTGTCCTCCCGCGTCACCGACTGGAACCGGATGGACGTGGGCGAGAACTGCACCCGCTCCCGGTACGGCTCTGGGGACAGCAGGGTGACACGGCGGGGACACCCAGGGGACACCCCCACAACCCCACAGAGACACCCCGGTACGGCTCTGGGGGACACGGGGCTGTGACACCCAGGGGACAACATGGGGACACCACGGTACAGTTCCAGGGGACACCCAGGGGACACCCAGGGGACACCCAGGGGACACCACCGATGGCCCCACGGGCTTTGGGACCCCCCAAAAATGTCCCCATGGGCTCACACCTCCCCGGTGTCCCCCAATGTCCCCTGTGTCCCCCAATGTCCCCAATGTCCCCAAACATCCCCAATGCCCAGAAATGTCCCCAATGCCCCTGATAGTCCTAGTGTCCCAAATGTCCCCAATGTCCCCCCTGTCCCCAGTGTCCCCAGTGCCCCTGATGTCCCCAGATGTCCTCAATGCCCCCAGTGTCCCCAATGTCCCCAACGCCCCAATGTCCCCAAATGTCCCCAAACGTTCCCAACGTCCCCCCTGTGCCCAATGTCCCCAATGCCCCCCCTGTGCCCCCAGTGCCCCCCGTGCCCCCGTGCCCACCTTGCAGCCGTGGGAGGAGACGATCCTCATGTCCATGGGCACCCTGTCCCCACCCAGTCTCCCCAATGTCCCCAGTGTCCCCAGTGTCCCCAATGCCCCCCCAGTGCCCCCCGTGCCCCCCGTGCCCCCGTGCCCACCTTGCAGCCGTGGGAGGAGATGATCCTCATGTCCGCGGGCACCCTGTCCCCGCCCTTCACCTCCACCAGGTCCCCGACCACGACGTTCTCGGCGTTGATCTGGATCTTCTCGCCCTCGCGGATCACCAGCGCTTGCTGGGGGGGCACCGGGCACCTCAGGGGGCGCCCACCCCCCCCGGGACCCCCCCGGCCGTGCCCCCGCTGCCCACCTGGGGCACCATGTTCTTGAAGGAGTCCATGATCTTGGAGCTCTTGGCCTCTTGGTAGTAGGAGAAGCAGCCGGTGACGATGACCACGGCGGCCAGGACCACCCCCAGGTACAGCTGGCACCGGGGGGGGCACCTCAGCACCCGGGGGGCACCGTGGGACCCCCGGGGTGGGGTGACAAGGAGGGGACACCCCTGGTGCCCCCCATGTCCCCCGTGTCCCCATGTCACCCGTGTCCCCAGTGTCCCCCATGTCCCCCGTGTCCCCATGTCCCCCGTGTCCCCAGTGTCCCCATACCCCCGGTCCTCCCCATGTCCCCCGTGTCCCCAATGTCCCCAGTGTCCCC